CAATGGCCGTGACTCATCCACATGGCTGACACTGACAAAGGATCTACAAAGTGCGGTACAGGGTTTCAGGATAAGTCTTGAGGGGACTTGACTGACCGTGTCAGATACAAAAGTTACATTTTTTGTTATATAGGTCTTGCTTTATCTTGATCTTAACCATCCAGCAGAAAAGTGTAGAAACGAGGTATGAAAAGTGAAGCCATGTTAATATGCTGAGCTGTAGAAGGCTCAGGTAATCAGATTTGGACATTGCCAGTCCTGTGGATAACCCATTACTATTGTGGAGTACTGGACTATAATGGAATATTTTGCTGAATTCATGCACATAACAATATTTGGGTCACAATGGAATATGCATCTCTGACAAAACTGAACAAAAAAGGTGATATAAATGAAGGACAATTTGTATCTGTATGTACAAAATAGGATAGATATAGAGCTACTTTCTCCTAATTCAATAAGAAGAAAGATCTGTACTAGTAATGTTTGGACAGGATATCATGTCTGCATCTTGTGCTGTGAATGACTACTACAAAGACAGCAATATGCAATGTATTAATTGTTGTAACTCTCCTACCAACCTGTTTTGAAGTTGTCACATTGCAATTTTTTCTCAATAAAATTAATAAAAATAAAACTAATAAATGAAAACAAAACAAATGTAACTCTAAGAATGCAGGGCTTTTAGGCTCTGGACCTGGGGCACAGGGAACCTCAAAGTCCAGCCTCAATGTCCTCTTCTCCATCACCTTTGCCATAGCGCTGGGTTGGGGGTCAAAAGTGGAGGCAGGGGAAAGACGACAAGAGCTGAAGTCTTGCATGGAATGACTTACAGGGACACTTTCAGACAGTCCTCCAGTGCTGTCCTTGCCCACAGACACCCACAGGCACTCATCTGTGGTCAGCAGTGTCTCTGGATGTGTCAAACTTCCATTACCAGGGACCACAAGGCCTTCGCCCTTCAGTGTCCACTCTAGAGGATTCATTTTTTAATTTCTAACTATTTTATCCATTTTTTTCATTATTAACTTTATTGAAAATCAATAATAATTATATAGCAAATTAAAAATTGCACACAGATATTGAAATGTGAAAGATATAAGATGTAGACAGAAAAAAAGATGTAGGCCGGGGAGATGGTTCAGTGGAATAAGTGCTTCCCTGGCAAGTGCAAGGGTCTGAGTTCAATCCCTGGTTCAGCAAAAAAAAAAAAAAAAAAGGAAAGAAAAGAAAAAAGATGTAGACAGAGTGAATTTTAGAAAAATATATCTGAAATGAATATATAACATGAGCCTAATAATAGATTGCATATTGTAAAAAAATTTACAAACTTAAATGAATATAACAATAAAAATTGTCTAAAATAAACATGAAGAAGAGTTTACAGATCAGTTCTATCTGTACCAAAATCAAGAAACTTTTTTATTATTCTATTTTTTATTGATAATTTTATTGAGAAACAAATAGCAATGAGACAGTTTCAAAACTGATTAGTAGGACAGTCGATAATTAATACACTGCATATTGTTGTCTTAGTGGTTATTCATTGTACAAGATGCAGACATGATATCTTGTTTACAAACACTATTAGAACAAATTTTTCTACTCATTGAATTAAGAGAATGTAGCTATACATCTATCCTATTTTGAATATACAGATATAAAATGATTGTTCATTTGTATCCCCTTCTTTATGGATTTTAAATAAAGTTAATAATGAGAAAAAATGAATAAAATAGTTAGAAATAAAAAAGGGGGATCTAGAGGATTCTTGAAGAGATAAATGAGGCAATAGTAGAATCAGGAACTGACAGTTGGTAAAGGGGCTCATCTTGGGTACAATCTTTTTCTATATCCAGATACTTGAGGGGGCCCAAATTGGCAAGTGACTCTCCAGGAGTGGTTCATTTCCCACCATTTGTCTGAAGGGGCTGGAAGATCAGTTCTCTCAGGACAGTAGCCATGTGCTCTGGGCACCTTTCCCTGGGAGCTCAATGAGAGCTAAAGTCACACTGGCCCAACTGGAAAGTAGATTCACTTGGAGAGTGGCCTGGGTGGGAGGCAATGGGAAGCAGCACGTGTCTTGTACCCAGCAACCCCAACATCTAGTCACCTCCCCAAGGTCCCCTTCAGCATCCTCCTCATGCACACTTAGTCTCTTTGAGTCCTGTGAGTCTGGCTCAACTCCGTGCTGGCCTGACACAGACTCAGTGTTGCTTCAGGTATGGCCTGCAGCCCTAAGTGGAATTTTTGCTCCTAGCTATCAGGAAAGAGAAAGCAAGCATTAGGGGCCTAGGAGGAAACATATAAAGGGTCATGCACGCAAAACACGTCTGATGAGACACTAGGTCAAGGCAGGAGGTCAGAGCAGGGAGGCTCAGCTGCTGCCTAGTCATATTGGACTAATTCCCTGTGCTTAGAATTTATTAAAAATTGAACGTAACAGCTAGGCAAGGTAGTGCATGCCTATAACCTCTGCATACAGGAGGCTGACTCAGGAGGATCCCTGAGAGTTGGAGGCCAACCAAGGTTACATAGTGAGTCAGTTTGCAATAGACAGTGAGACCTTGTTTCAAAAACACCAAAATATAATTTGCAAATGAAGTTAATAGACACTTCATGATAGAAAAAGTACAAATAGCCAATAAATATGTGTTAAGAAATTCTCAACTTCACTGAAAAAAACACAGGAGAGATTTCATCTTGCTTGGAAAGAATGTCCATAATCAAGAAATCAAATAACACATGCTGGTGAGACTTCAGGGTAAAGGAAACTTTTCCATTGTTGATGGGAGAGGAAGAGAAAGGAGAGGAATAAAGGGAGTTAAGGTGTGTTATGTTCAGTACCACCACCACACCAGGAATGCAAGCATTATGCACAGAAAATATATGGTAGTAAACATTATAGAAAATAAAAATAGATAGATAGATAGATAGATAGATAGACAGACAGACAGACAGACAGACAGATAGAACTTAAGATGGCGATAGAGCATAGACCAGGCCACGTGGAGTGCTTGGACTATCTTCCAAAGCTTGGTCTTGAGAGGCCATGAGACTTCCACCTGGCACCCTTGGGACCTTTGCTTTTGTGGCCCTGAGAGAAGCATTGCTGCCTGAAGTCACTGTGCTGGAAGTACCAGCCAAAGTGCCCAGGCATGACCAGGTACGATGGGCGTTCTGCTTGTACTGCTTACCATACTGCCAGCTCAGCCTCCAGCTGACAGCAGCATCATAAGCAGTATAAGCAGAACCGCTCAGCTGGGCTAATCCTGATTCCTGGCCCCCAAAGGCCCTGAGTATTTTGTTTGAAGTGAGTGAGTGCTGTAGAAACTTGGCAGCTGTAGAGACTGGAGCAAAGAGGGAGGAGGGCCAGGGTGTGTAGACAGCACGCTCTGCAAGACAGCAGCAACATATAAAGAGTCAGAGGTCGGGAGGTGCTGAAATGAAAGTGCAGGGGCAGCTTGGGGGCTTCCTGCCTGCATCTCCCTGTCTAAAGAGTTCATTTTTCTGTGCAGAGAACAGTTTGAACAATTCTGGCCCACAGATAGATTTCATGAAGCCTGTGCAGGGAAGGGGCCACATTTCAGTCATTCATTTGTTTGTTGGTCTGTTCCTTCGTGTGTTCATTTGTTCAACCATCCATCTCTCAGCAAGTTTGAATGCACTTCCATTTTGGGAACTCACACTCATCGGGGTGCCACACCAACACCCCCATGCTCACCCCAAGGTGTGAACTCAATTTCCAGGAAGTGGACACAGAGATGAGGTTGAGAGGGTCGGGACCATGCTCATTGCCAGGACAGGGAGTGGGCCGCTTAGGTAGCAGGGTGTCCAGTACAGCTAAGCTTCCCTCTCTCCTCAGTTTAAGGCCAAACCTATGCAGGCTGTGTGATCTTGAGCAAATTGCTCAACTCTCTGGGCTTAGTTTTCTTTTTGTTAGAAGAGGGAAAATAAATTACAGGCTAGGGGCCTCAGTTCAGGAAACATGAAGGCCAGTGCTTCCTCTTCAACTCTCAGGATCTCATCTACACAGAGTGAGCTGAAGCAGGGTTGTGTGGTCAGGTAAACGTGGCGGCTGGGGCCATGGACAGCTCCTCTTCCAGCCAGAGCCCTGCACCAGGCACAGTGTACTTTACCTCCCCACACCCCACCCATGAGGCCCTGGCTCCATGATGCCCACAGGCAGGCATTCTTGCACAAAAGTTCATCAGGATTTGGGAAAATGAAAGGGAAGAGACAATATTGAGCATTAGTCAGACCAGGATCCCAGAACAGGAGCAGAGAGAAAGAGGGAGAGAGGTGAGGCCAACAGATTACAGAGCCTAAAGCCATGCTCCAGCTTCTGCACACCTCCTATGCAGCCATCATGGCCCCAAGGAGGAAGCTTTGGTCTTGCAGGTTTGCATTCCATGTGTTGGGGGAAGGAGACACAATCAGAGAACAGAAATATTCACTCCCTGTTCACCCAGGGCCCATGCTGCCCTATCTCAGATAACTCTTTTGCCTACAAGGTGGGAGGGGCGGCTGTTCCCTCTGAAGAAGAAATCGAGGTATAGTGAAGAGACAGAGACAGGGGCAGAAAGGGAGCACAGGTGCCCTGAGTTTGAATTTGTGGGACTTCTGAGGATGCTGTGTGCCTACCTTTGCACATTTTCCTTTCACTGCTCTGAGAGTGGTCCTGGCCACCATGCGACAGGCACAGGCCTGGGGAGGAGGCTGACTGAGGAGCTGGCATGACTGCCTGGGGGTGGGATGGAGAAGAAGGAAAGGACCAGAGTCATGAGGTGAGGGGCAGCCTGGGGGTGGGAACAGAGGCCAGAAGCCCTGCAGGTGAGGACCTGCAGTATAAATAGCCATACAGAATTGTGCAGCTGCAGCAGCTCTGAGCATCTGTTCTGTGGGTCACAGACTAACTGGTGTATCCCAGGCACAGTTCTGAGCAGCAGACAGGACTCCTCTTCCCTTTGCCAAGTGTCTGGATACTGGCCTGGCTCACCATGCAGCTAGGCAGCCTCCTCATCCTGGTGGCCACCATGACTGCAGTCCATGTGAATGGACAGAATGTGGACAGTACGCAGAGAAGCCATCCCACCAGTGTGCAGGGGAGGCTCTTGACTGGCACTTGGATGGAACAGGCGGAGAATGAACTGAAGAACAGCCTGCTGAAGCTGCAGAAGGTATGCTGGGCCTGTGAAGTACGAGCAGCTTCAGAGCTGTCACCATCAGTAAATGAACTGTGAGACCCAGAGGCCTCCCAAGGCACAGAGATGAGGCCCCAGTAGAGCAGGAATAGGCCTGGTGCCACACAGTAAGACTGGGCTGTGTTGGAACAGGGAAGCCGGCTTTATGCAGATATTCATTAGATCTGAACATAGCCAGGCCCTTCCTAGAGGAGCAGATAACAGGCAGAGGATAGTTCAGTTTGTCCCTTATGGATAAGGGGGTGAAAAGGGCCATGAGGAGAGCTCTACTGTGTCAGATGATGATGTGAAGGGATAGAGGGGAGGAGGGCTGGGTGTGGCTTGGCCTGAGCTCAAATCATGGTGAGCTCAAATCATTTGTGAAAATGTGTCAGGCAAGGACACCTCTGATCCCAGAAGACAAATGAAGCAAGCATCTGGGGCCTGGTCCCACTGAAAGACTCTCAGGTCCCACAGCTGCAGGATGGAATGCAGTTATCTGCCCAAGGACAGTGAGGGGACCAGTGTGGCTGGAGCAGAGAAGTATGTGCATGGGCAGAATCAAAAGGTGGCAAACACAAAGATCCCTGGGTCCACAGTGAGGACTTTGGCTTTGCCTGTTTGTCACAGCACCCACAGAAGAGTTTTGAGCAGGGAATGATACCGCTGCTTCAGATTTAATGGAGTGGAGTACAGGGATGGGTGGACCCTGGCAATCCAGGAGGAGGCCCTGTGGCCCCCTGCCACCACCAGACACAAGGAGAAGGAGGCTTGAGCAGCTTGGAACTGGGGAGGGCAGCAGTGCTGAGTGGATGGAGTGGACTGTCTGTGCTGATGAATCAGATGCAGGGAGGCAGAGAACAGGAGTCACAAGTACAGCAGTGTGGGCCAGGGAGAGGGGAAGTGAAGGGTCTGTCTGGTCACTGTCCTTGTTCTTCAGCCATCACTGAGCACCTGCTCTGTGTCCCAGTGAGGAAGAGTGGGAGGGGGCAGGCCTGGCTCTGGAGTGGGGTGGGCAGAGCAATGGCCAAAGTCTCAGGTGCAGCTGGTTAGGCCCCCTAAGTAGGAGCTGCCAAGGGAAGAGGATGGGCCCAGGGAGAGTCCAGCTGGTGGCTGCAGGGTAGATGGTGAGGGCTGAATGTGTGAAGCAGCAAGCAGACTGGGCAGGCCAGCAGAGCAGAAGTGAGAGTGTTTTTCATGAGAGAGGGAGGACACTCTTGCTACTGTGGTTGCTGGGTTGTTTATGATAGGTTTCTCAGCAGCACAGTAAAGAGATGGGAAAGATAAAAGAAGCCTATGTTAACTTCAAAGACACATAGAGGATCGAGGGCAGATGGGGCAGATAGATCCTCTGGCCTGTGACAAAGAAAGCTGAGGCCTTAATGTATTTTGTTAGGGTTTGAGTTTGAGGGGGATGTCTAGAAATATCTGAGGAGCTGATTGGGGTCTTCCCTGAGGCAGTAGAAAGGTGAAAGGAAACTTCACCCTAGGCTGGGTTGGAGAAGAAGGGAGAGGTGGTCTCTGGGAATATAAGTTGTTGCTTTAAGGGCTTCAGCCATATTAGATGGCTATCATAATAATTCAGCAATTTATACTAGGGCCAGAACTTATCATTCCCATATTTTGGTTGTTATGAAAGGGGCAACATGTCTCTTAGACTGCTTCCTGATGAATAAGGGTCATCATCTTGGGAGTGAGGAGGGTTGAGAGGATGATGGTTCATGCCCATGTAGAAGCTAGTGTCAGGTGTCTCAGCTAGGACAAGAAGCTCATCATTAGTGAAGGCTTGCATTGTAGACTGAATAAATCTTGATAAAAGTTTTAAAAGACAGCATGTTATGAATACATATGTCATCATAATTGAAGGACACAGGTGGGAAAGCAAGAGGGAGTCCATAATTTTGAATGTGTCATTTTGTCTCTGAACCCTTGAGGAAGGACTGTCCATGTGAGTTACTGAGATCAGAGAGTGGATCAGCCCATGTGAAGACAAAGAAGTTCTGGCAATCTGGGTGTAGGGGAATGGTGAAGAAGGCATCTTCAAGGTTGAGGACAGTAAAGTGAGTAGTGGAAAGAGGGATATGAAAAAGCATAGTGTAGGGATTTGACATCACTATGTAAATGGGAGTAAATGCATTATTAATAACCCTGAGATCTTGAACTAAACAATAGGAGTCATTAGGTTTGCATACTGGAAGAATGGGGGTATCCTATAGTGAGTGGGCAGTTCTAAGGAAACCATTGGTAAGGAGGTGGTGAATGATAGGTTTGAATCTCCTCTGATGCTTGGGGGCTACTTGGTATTGAGGAATGTAGGGAAAGGCTGTGGGACTCTCTGAGGTACACTAGTATAGGAGCAGCATGTGTGGCACAAGTGGGACTGGAAGTGTCTCAGAGTATGAGGGAAGAAGGAGGGAGGAGCTGGCTGTGCACTGAGGTTAGATTTAATGGACATGCACTGTGAGGACAGAGGTGAGAGAGAAGTGGAGCTTTTGGGGGAGATCTCTCCCCATGACAGGTATGGGACAAATTGAGATTTTAAGGAAATTATGAGTGAAGACCAGTGTCTGGAATCAGCAGGGAATGGCCCTGTCTGGAGGGATCATGTAGGTTGGCCATCCACACCCACTATGGAGACTGTCGATGCAATACAATGGCTTTAGAACTCAGGAACACTATATGTGGTCTCTGTGTCATCAAAAAAATAGTTTTTTTTTTTTTGTTTTGTTTTTTAACCAGAGATGTCCAGTGAGACTTGGGATTCTGACAAAGATACCTTGATGTGGTCCATTCACTACAAGCTCTGTTGTTCCTCTTCAGCAGCAAGACCAGTGGATCTGACTATAGCAAGTTCTCCTGTGAGGGCAGGGAACTGGATCACTTACCCACTCTCTGGTGGATACGGCAGTCAACCCTAGAGCTTGCAGATGGAACCAGGTCACATTAGTGGCTGCAGGTTGGGGCAGAATCATGACCAGTGTCTTTTTTGCAGCACTTGAAACTGTGCAGGACAGCCTTGGGTGACAGCATTTTCTAGGCTCTTAGATGGGAGTCCTTAGTGTTGCAGCCAAAAAGCTGTAGTTGTGTATAAATTTTTGTCTCTATTATTGAAGATACCAAAAGTCAGATTAAGTTTTTCCATGGGGTTTGAGGGCTGAGATTTGTCTTTCTGGCTTAGAATGAGAGTCAGGAACAGATAGGGATATAAAACAGGAATTAATAACAATTGTTCCTTCAAGGGACTCTGGATCTATTTTTGTATATTTAGTTTGAAGCAGTACACTTGATTATCAGAATTTTATTTCAGTATTAAGTACCTTGAAATATAAAGTGTAACCAAAGAAGTGTTATTTCTTACCAACCATGGACATTTTAGCAGTTAAATCCTTGTAGAATGATAATAGACAACAATTATACTTTTACAGAGAACATTCGACATCAATAGTCATACGTAGCAGTTCAGCATAACAATCATGATGAAACTTCCATTTTTGAAGGATCTCTAAATGTAATGGCGCATATACAGGATACATATCATATAAGTCTTAACTAGAAATTATCATTTCACTGATGACCTCATGTTAGCTTGACATGAACCCCTTATTAAAAATATCTGGAGCATAGGAGAAAGGCATGTTTAAATCTGAAAGAAAATATTAGTTTTATGTTGTAGAATACTATACATTTGGAAGATATGAACAGACCTAATGCATCAAGAGCAACTTTTATGTGAAAACTTTATTTTTAATCAATTTTGGTATCAATTAGACTAGCTGGTAACTCAGGAGAAAGTATGCTTATAAGTCTATATTTTAAATCTCAAATAAAAAGAGGAGCACCTGATCACAGAACAACATATAAATACATAAGAAAAAACACAGGACACAAATGAACATCTTCAGAAAATCAGAACTCACTCAAATATATTTCTGTCCAGGTTAAATTATAATGACCTTTTTTAAGTTTGCAATTATGAAAGACTAGTCAGAACTTTCATAAGTAGGTCAAGTAGTAGGTCAAGCAGAGATCTCTTATAAGAATTGAAAAACATAAAAGCCTCTTATTTATAATTAATATTTTTTGCACCAAGTTTGAATAGGAACAAGCAAACTTAGCAGAGTATAAGGATTGGGCACAACACAAGAGAGGGCAACCCACAATTCACAAGTACTGGACTTGAAGGCTGGCAAGAAGGGTGTTTTTATTATGACACATTTTTTGAGTAACTTTTATCAACTGAGACGAATTTATTTTTATAGACTCTTTTTAGCTTTGTAATTTGTAGCATATAATTGGAGGAAGAGGCTTTTTTTCCCTAAGGTGGGAAGCTGCCACTTAATCTCTTTCTTGTGGCTATCACAGGAGATGCCAGTAGAAGTGGCTGCAGGGGGGAGGTCCTGGGAGAGGCGTGAGAAGCAGGCTCCATTGGAAGGGTAGTGTGTTTTCTCAGTGGGCTGTTATCCTGCCTTTAGCTTGATAGCAGAGGGAGGAGCTCACACTGTTGGGGAAAAATGTGCCATGAGCTGTTACTGTATTGCACTTTGTCCCAGAGTGAGAAACCTGGAGGAAAGAGACAGAGGCTGGGAGGAAGTGGCGAGCAGTGCGAGGAATGCAGGATGACAGGCAGGCGTCGGCAGATGAAAGGCAGGGGAGAGGGAGCAAAGAGAGGGAAGGCGACAGTTGAGCACGTCAGAAGATGAAGTGGCTCCGGTGCTGGTGGGCAGAGGCAGCTCCAGTGCTGTAGGGGAATCTGATCTGCTTGACAGAGAGAGGAGGCTAGGTGAGTTGTGGGGACTGGGAGAGGGGCGTGCCCTTTCTAACTATTTGCTCTTGCCATAGCATGAGTTTTAAGGGGTTAAAGTTTTCTCCTCAGGGGACTGGGTGTGGGAGTTTATCTGTGACCAAGCCACCTGGCAGTAAAAAGTTAACTTTTTTTTTTTTTTTTTGCGTAACTGGGGATTGAACTCAGGCCCTTGCGCTTGCCAGGGAAGTGCTTA